TGTGTGTGTGTGTGTGTGTGTGTGTTTGTGTGTGTGTGTGTGTATGTGTGTGTGTGTGTGTGTGTGTTTTAGTAAGGTTTTACTGCGCTCGCAACTGCATAAGGTCATATGACTGCCAATGAGTAGATGTCAACAGAACAGAGATATCTAAAGATAATGTGTATGTGTGTGTGTGTGTGTGTGTGTGTGTGTGTTTGTTTGTTTATGTGTGTGTGTATGTGTGTGCATGTGTGTGCGTGTGTGCGTGTGTATGTGTGTGTCTGTGCGTGTATTTGTGTAAGTGTGTGTGTGTGTGTGTGTGTGTGTGTGTGTGTGTATGCGCGCCCGGGCAAAATTTGTTTTTGTATAGGCAAAAAGAATCACTCTGTTAAAAAGCACGTTTTTTTTCCTTGGGTCGTCTTTCACAACAGACTGTCACTATGTCCACTCACAAAACCCGAAGACAAAACGTCAGTGCGCTTAGTATTATAATCTTAAAAGATTTCTGACATCTCTGAAAAAAATAATTCTAAAGCTCCTCATTAATTAAATAAATAGTTCCGCCCTCAAATGAACTTATGAACTTGCAAGCATCGTAAAGCTTTTATCAAACGAATACTAGATTAATTTTAATTCCTCTCTGACAAAATAATTACTTTACCTTGACATCTAACCAAACAGGCTATTAACCTCTATGCAAAAAAATTGTTCATCGCTGGCAATGAAAAAAGTAAATAACATTCAATTTGCTTTACTTCAAACACAAAATTACAGAGCAAAAATATTGTATCATGTTCATCAGGAATGAAATTTAGAACCAACAGAATCAGAACAGACTGCACAATATCCAACTCAAGCTTTCTCTCAGGAGACCAACGTCTCCTCTACAGAGACAAACTGTTATAATAAAACAAAATTCTAATACGCTGTCAAAAATTGGAAACACGCATGTCACGCACAAATTGTAATATCTTCTTTAAGAAGAAGAAACTCTTTTTCGTTTTGGCATGAAACAATCTTTTAATGTTTACCATCAACTTCTAGTAGAACATCGTGACGAATAAAATTATGCACGTCAGAAGTATTCTAAATAAAAGGATACAAAAACTGTCTTCGATATAGTCGACCCGAAGACAGTAGCAAACTTTATAAAAGAAACTGGCTTGTTTACGATCATATACAATTCTATGATTGTTCAGAGTGTCCCATGCAGTTGCGAGCGCCGTAAAACCTCATACTAAACTAAACTAAGATAATAATAGCTTTTAAAAAAAGTTGAATAAGATTAAAACAACAAAAATGCTTTAAGTACAGCAAAGTCTTTTGGTAAGAACATAAAGAACCATTGGGACGGACAGTTACACAATTTTTAACAAAGAAAAAATGCCTCAAATGGCCCCATTCACGTGTAATGCGTTTCTGTGTTCAGATTAAAAATACGATGTGACTATTCCAAGTGACACTGGGATAGGTACAAAAACTATTCCAAGTGACAACAGAACTCTTTTACGTTAAAAAATCAGAAGTCTTTGCCTTTGAATTTTCACTTCGAAACAAAATTGCGATAAAGTTCTCCTCCTTCAAAGAGTTTAAAGAGAAATTTGCAGCTTTTCAAAAGATCAAGATTCTAGGCCTCGATTCTATTCTTACATGTACTGTAGATTCTCTTCACACTTGCAGTTCAGTATTTTTGTTCTCTTCTCTTACTTAAGCCTAGACTTGACAGTAGCCTAGATCTAGATCAAGAAGAAAGAAGAATCGGGAACGATTTCCTCCAGTCCTGTGCCGTGGTCTCCAAAGTCTGTTTGTAGATCTAGATCTACATGGACATCTAAATTACGATTGAATGACAAGCAAGCATAGAATGATTATTTCTTTCTTTAAAAAAAAATTCTTCCACTCACCCCAGAATCTATTTTACTTTAGTTAGATCTAGAATCTAGATCTAAATTTACATTAGAAACCAGTGGTTTCTGGGTCTATTCCCAGTAACACTGGGAACAATTCTGGCATATCCCCAGTGGTTTCTGAGGGGAACATTTCTGGTCTATTCCCAGTGGTTTGTGGGACAGGACTCTCTCACTGGGAATAGTTTCTGGGCCTGTCCCCAGTGTCACTGAGAATAGGGCTTTCCTTAAAAATATGCTGGTCTCTGACACTGTGGCGTGCAACGTGGTAGTTCTTACGAGGTCCTTTACCTCGATTTTTTAAAATGTCCTTTCTTTCATACCCTCTGGTCTTTCTGTATCCCAGCCTTAACCATTCACTAGTCTCGTAGAAAGGGCCTATATTATACTATATACATATTATTATTATACAAAGCCCGATAGCTCATGCTTTACTATAATAAGTAAATGAATACATAAATAAAAAAAATAATAAAGAAAACAATAAATGAACAAATAAATAAATAAATAACCAGAAAAAGAAACAACTGGCCCTTTTCCTGGACAAAGCATATTATCCTTGCGAAGAGGTTATTTTGACTTGGGCAATGAAAACTTGCCGTTGAGCTGGATCAAAATAAGCCTTTGATTTCTTTTACAATAAACTCCACAGCGTGTTCCTTTAAATGTTTCAACAAGAACACACACGCACCTCCATGGAAATAATTTCCCTACGGACAGTGGAAAAGTCAGAATCATTTTCCTCATTTTTTGAAGTAAAAATCACAAGGGTGCTTTTTTTTCACTTCTGATTATTGGTTTTGTAGTGTTGTATTCATTTACCATTTTGCGTTTTCAAGAAAATCTTTTGAAAGAAAACCCCCACCTAATTACGACGCCAATGGCTTAATTTTCATCAAACGTTAGACCAAAGAACGATCAAGAACATTTTGGGTCTCCAAAAGAGAGTGCTTAGTTTGTTCTCTCGTTTGAATGTAAGTAGATCTATGCCTTTCACCTGGTAACTTGATAAAAAAAACCTCGCTTGTTTTTGGTTCGGATACCAAAGTTTACTTCGAGCAAATAAATATTACAGTTTCTCGTTGTTTTCAACTATAAACTTGAATGGTTTTTTTTTGCCAGTTTGTGCACTGCTTTGTTCGCTGCTTTTTAATTAAAGGCTCTTTATAACAGCTTCGCTGCACAGCGTGGGCGCCATGTGCGCTCAAAGAGGAGTTAATCACCAGTCTCTGTTCTTTCCTCATCCTTACCCTCGTCATTTTCCCTCTACTTCTTTTGTATATTTGTCACTCTATTGTGAACTGCTATTTCCGAGGTGCCTTGACAGCTGAAGCAGACTTTGTGCTGTTGAGATTAGAGAGGTGAGCAAAGTAAGCCTGATTCCCCGTTTGGACTTCTCTGTTGACATCCACCCCTTGGCGCTCAAATGACCTTATGCAGTTGCGAGCGCCGTGCGGAGTCAAATTGTGAGCTCCAAAGGGATCAGGAATTACGTCAGCAAGCGCGAGCTAAGCTAATATTCGTAATACCAGTTTGCAAAATGTGTCACGACGCGATGAAATCAGGTACTCATTTTATTATTTTTTTTGCGTATGGACTTCTTGGTATCATCTCAAAGCTTGTTCATTTATCTTGCTTTCAACGAAAGATGTATCCCTGTATCTTTAATAAATGCGTTTTTAAATTGAGCCAAAAAAAGAAAAAAGAAGAATTCGACAAAAATGACCT